GCCCAGAAGCAGAAGGCCATCCGGATCATCCTGGCCCTGGTGGTGGCCTTCTTCCTGTGCTGGACGCCCTACAACCTGACCCTGCTGGCCGACACGCTCCACTCCCAGAGCAACATCAGCGACAGCCACGGCCGGCGCACGGCCCTGGACATCTCCCTGGTGGCCACCTCCTCGCTGGGCTACCTGCACTGCTGCCTCAACCCCATCCTCTACGCCTTCGTGGGCGTCAAGTTCCGCCGCAACCTGCTGGAGCTCCTGCGCGCCCTGGGCTGCAAGATCAAGGGCCACGCCCGGCCGAAGCCGGCCTCGTCCTCCGCCACTCGCCGGACCTCCATGTGGTCCGAGTCCGGGGACGTGTCCTACTCCACCGGGATCTGAAGGAGGGCAGGGCGGGCAGCGGGGGGGGAGAGAGGGGGGAGTGGGAACTGTCCGCGCCTGGGGGCAGGGAGGACAGCGATCCAGGCTGGGAGTGGTATCCGTCTGTTAAACCCATCTCTGCCTGTGGCCCCCGACCTGGGCGACGTCTCACCAGAAGCTCTCTGGCCCAGACTGGCGGGGAGAGTCACCCCCTGCAGTCTAACCCTGAGGAATGGCTTTTGGAGAGCAGACACCAACTTAAGCAGAATAAGAAGAACGCAACAAGTCCTTAAGAGAAACCTTTTTTTCTTAATTTTTAAAAAGTTACTTTTCTAAAAATGTCAAGGAAATGAATGCCAGGTGCTAGGGATACTGTGTTTTGTATCTGTGGGCTCAGTGCCAATCTTTTAGAATATGAATCTATGCTGTACATTGCTGAAATGTAAATACATAATATGCTGTATATATGTGTTTCTGAAGCTAAAATTGTACCTTTATTTCTTTTAAACACAGATGTTTGCACGAAACAGAGCAGACTCATACTGAGACTCAGACTAGAGACTCAGGCTCAGATTCAGGCTCAGGCTTAGACCCGGAGACTCGGAGACTCAGGCTCTGTGCAAAGTCTGACACACAAGCTCATTAATGGAGGTGACCTGTATCACAGGGCTGTGGGGGAAACTGGGTTATCCTGCTGTTGATTGC